CCGGTTCCCCGGGGCACGGCTCCCTGCCCCGCTCCCGGTGCGCTCCCGGTTCCCCGGGGCACGGCTCCCTGCCCCGCTCCCGGTGCGCTCCCGGTGTCCCGGGCACGGCTCACCCGCTCCGCACGCAGTCCCGGCCGCTCTGTGGCTCGCTGCTGCCCGGCCCCGCTGCCCCGCTTTTACAGCCCTCGGCCCGGGGCTGGCGGCTCGGCCCGCCCCGCCGGGGCGGGGTGTGCCCGGGGCCGGCCCCGCTCGGGTCCCCCCCGTGTCCCCCGTGTCCCTTCCCAGCCCTGCGCTGCGGCTCGGGGGCAGGGGGTGCTTTGGACAGGGCGGCTTGGGAGGGATGCTCGAGTGATGCTTCTCACCCGGCGTAGCTCCTGCGCTGCGGACAGGTCGGGAATATCCTTGGAATGCCTTGCTGGGGATATCGCATCTCTCTGTGTCACACCCCTCCAACGAGCAATCTTCAATATAAACAGAGCTGATCCAGTGCTCTGTGCCCACTGCCACCCAGCAAACAGAAAAAAACAGATGGGAGCCTCTTGTTCTTTCCCATCTCTGCACGGATGAAAGTGTTCACCCCATCTGGAAAGATGCTGCAGCTCCAAATTTGGGGCTTCTCTGCTGTCCCCAGGTTGTGGGGCCACCTGAGAACCTCGGGCAGTGGCTGTGGGGCTTGGAGTTATGGCAATAACCTCTATCCTAAACTCATCACACCCTAAATATCGTGGAATGAAGTGACTGATGGAAAGGACGAGAGACCTTTTCAAGTAGCAAAGCTGTGGCTCTGCATAAATTTCTCATTAACTCCTCAGACAGAGCATTTACTGCAGCCCCTCCACAGATAGTTGAATATTTTGCTACTTTCTCCAAGTGAGCTCCTGCAGTGCAATATTTTTCCATGTACATTGTCCAAACCCCTCACAGAGTTTAGGAAACATATTCCAGCTTTCTCATCCACGGTTTTTGTTGTATTTTCCTCACTTAAACTGACCCTCTTGTTTGTTTTCTACTGTTCTCTCAGTTCTACAACTTATCCCCTTTTCCTTTTTCCACTGGGAAACTGAAACAGTTCTCGATTCTTTTGCAGTCCTATTCCTTCCTCTTGTGAAATCCCTCGCTTTTACCACCTTTCTTGTCTTTTCCACCTTTTCAAAATGTCCTTTCCTTACTCTGGGCTTTGACAGGAGATCGCCAATATGCTGTGAAAACATTAAGCACTGGGTTTATAACTAGAGTGAGTGGGTGTAAATAAGATTTTGCTAGCCTGTGTCTGATATTACATGTGACAGGGGATATTCCATCCACATGGGATCTGTCAGCAATGCCACTGTGGATTTAGCAAACTTCCCAGGGATTAGTTGGTTTGGAGTGCTCTGCACAGCTCCTGCCCCAGTGTGTATCTAGGAAATGATGAATTCTCTCTTTATTGTTAGATCAAACAGGCAATAATTATGTTTTCTGTATAACAAGCAATGTAGGATGTAGATTAATATATTCATAATGAGTGTGGAATTAAAACAAAATAAAAGCAGAATTCCTCAACTTAAAAATGAACATTGAAGAAATAGGATTTCTTAAGGATGCTTAGAGTTGGAGAGTTGAACTTTGTTGAAGGGAAAACAGTAAAATAGCAATGCAAAATATACTTTCTAATGCAAACTGAATTGTATTCTCATTACTGTCTTCTCCATTTGCTCTGTTTTGGATGTCTCTCCACTTCCCATCACTGCCTCTCAGTGATTTATTTGAAACAGAAAGATTAACCTCAAAATCCCCATCCCACAGTTAATACTGGGGAGGTTCTGAAGGAAAAGTCTCTCTCTTATTTTCCTTTCTGGCACAGGGCATGGCAAATCATTCCTACCTCAATATTCCCAGCTTCACCCTTTTCAAGGTGAAAATAAGTACTGGAGGGTAAATTGCCAATTCTGCAGAACAGAGAAGTTTAATTAAATATATTTGGATGTTCTCAAATATCTGAACTTTATTTGTACTTCTATAGTCCATCAGTCTCTCTCTACTATTTCACTTTTTTTGCTGAAAGAGTGCAATGCTGAAGGAGTGCAGCTCCAAAGGAGCTTTGGTGACTCTGGAAATCCACTTTTCACAACAGGACTGTGAAGGAAAAGGATAGCTGAAACAGCTACAGTGCACCTTCTTTTAAAAACATTATTTTTTTCAGCTGTCTTTTGCTTTGGAGAAAGAAAACAGCTCCATGGGCTGAACGTGCCATGCAAACGCACTGTCAGCTCACCTGACACGGAGCCCTGCTGACATATTTTTGTTCAAAAAAACCCTACCTTTGTTTTTAACTCAATTTTAAAAAAAAAAAAAAAAAAAAAAAAAAAGGTGGAAAAAAAAAGAAAAAAATAGAAACCGTAGGGTGCTGAGCAAAATGCTGAACGCAGTAAACATCTTTCATGACAAAGAACACAAATACCCTGCAGATCTGCTGGCAATAGCAAGTCCTGGGCCCCCTGCTTTCAACAGTTAATACTGAGGCCCCTCTCTGCCCAAGCCTTGCTGGTAACAATCACAATGTTAAAATGTTGACATGCTAAGCACATTTGGGAAAAAAACCCATGTCTGCATTCCCTATGGATGGTGTAGCATCACTGTCTAACACCTAAAGAGCAGCAATTAAAACCAAAGTGACCTTCTCACCTCACCCCCTGCCCCGCTGGTTCTCTCTTGATATTCCCTTTCATGATGGAGCTGAGCCATATTTGTATTTACAGCCTGCCAGGCTTCCTGTCTCCGCTGGGAAATGTTTAGGAAGTCTCTATTAGGGAAAAAAAAATGCTGTTGGAAGAGGTGTCGTGCTCCCTCATCCCCAGGTGGGTTGTAAAATGCAGCACTGATTGGAAAAATGTGTCAGGAAAGTGAAATTTTGGGGAAGGGGTGGAAAGAAATGTGTCAGGAAATCAAAATTTTGGGGGAGGGGTGGAAAAAACATGTCAGGAAAGCAAAATTTTGAGGAAAAGGTGGAAAAAACGTGTCAGGAAAGTGAAATTTTGTGGAATGGATGGGAAAAACATGTCAGGAAAGTGAAATTTTGGGGAAAGGGAGGAAAAAACATGTCAGGAAAGCAAAAATTTGAGGAAAAGGGTGGAAAAACATGTCAGGAAAGGAAAATTTTGAGGAAAAGGTGGAAAAAATGTGTCAGGAAAGCGAAATTTTGGTGAAAGCGTGGAAAAAACATGTCAGAAAAGTGAAATTTTGGGGAAAGGGAGGAAAAAACATGTCAGGAAAGTGAATTTCTTGGGGAAATGCAGAAAAATGTGTCAGGAAAGGGAAATTTTGTGGAAAGGGTGGGAAAAACATGTTAGGAAAATGAAATTTTGGGAAAAGGGAGGAAAAAATATGTGAGGAAAGCAAAATTTTGAGGAAAAGGTGGAAAAATGAGTCAGGGAAGTGAAATTTTGACAAAAAGGTAGGAAAAATGTCAGGAAAGTGAAATTTTGAGGCAAATGTAGAAAAAAACATGTCAGGAAAGTGAAATTTTGAGGAAAAGGTGGAAATAAATACAATAATTTGCTGCTGGGGGAGAGATGTAAAGAGATGTAAAGGACACTTAAGATAATTGTGCTGAAGGTTCTGAACCTTTAGCTGCAGAGGGTGGTGAGAGGCAGACAAGGATTGACAGATTTCTGGAATGAAACCCTGAAATTTGATTGTCTGGAAATACAGTATTTTCACATGAAACCTGCCATCTTTTCCCTTCTTTCAGGCAGCTGCACGTGGAGGGTTTGGGACATGGCAGAGCAGCCACAGAATTTTTACTGTGCCAGTTTTGGCCAACTTACAAGGCCAGTTAATCCTGACATGAAAAAGGGCATCATCCATCACATCCTGTGCTCTGAATCACACAGCAGCTCTCAGACTTCTCTCCTGGCTCTTTTTTTATTCCACAGGACTCCACAATAAGTTATTTTGAAATATAAATAAATTTCTATCCGTGTGTGGTGGGGCGCACATGCCCACCAAAACTTTTTTTTAGGCGTTTTCAAATTAAAAGGGCTGAAAAGCCTTTGCAGTTGGCTTTTAAATTTTGTCCAGCACTTTTATATTTGGTGATGGAAATTCCTGGAAAACTGGGAGCTGCTCCTTTCCAGCTGTCCTGGCACTGCAGACTGTTCCTAAAGCACCACAGTTTGCTCGTGTTACTCTGAATTAGTTTAGGATTTGCAATACCCCAAGGAGAGGAAAAGCCTTAATTTTGTCTGGTTTAGTCGTGGAGAAAACAGTGGCTGGTGGGTTTTGTGCTGGAATTGCAAGGCAGAGGTTGCAGGCACAAGGTTGACTCATTCAGTTCCCTAAATCCCTAAAAGTCCCTTAAATCCCAGCTGCAAGCAAGCAAATACATCTGTATGACACTCCTTAGGGAGTTAGAGGTGCTGCATCTGGATATAAAATTTTCCCTGAGAGATAATATCAAAATTAAGGAATTCTATTTCCCTGGCCAGGTAATTTTCCTTGCGGTTTCCATCAGGATTTTTAGCTGTTTGCACTCATTGAAATGAAGATGGTTTTACTGAGGATGAAAAGAGCTCTTGGAAAATTTAACAGCACATGGTTTAGACGGGAAAGAGTCACGGTGACAGCTGGGGAAGGAACGGTGCTGATAAATTGGATGGATGCATCGAAAAACAACAGGAGTATTGCAAAAACACTTCAGCCCTGCAGCACATGGCTAAAGATTTGATTAAAAATATTTTCGCGTTACTGTTTTGCCTTGGTCACAGTTAACAGCGGCTAATTGCCAATTTGAGTAATTTCGGAGACAAATGACAATTTTCTGACTGATGTATGCACAAAGGCCGTGATAAAAAGTCGTCTCTCATCGCCGGCATTGGTGGTTCAGTGGTAGAATTCTCGCCTGCCACGCGGGAGGCCCGGGTTCGATTCCCGGCCAATGCAGCTGATATTTTCCGGTTTTTCTTGTTTTATTTATTTATTTCTTTTAAGTTCCTTATTTCTCCTTCCGCTTCCGTGTCGGCCGCCAAATCCTCCTTCAGCTCCACGGGGCCTCGGCCGGCTGCTCCCCCGCCGTGCCCCGCCGGGCTGCGGCTGCCCCGGGGGAGCGGGAGGATCCTCGGGGAGGCCGCGCCGGGAGGACGAGATGGAGGTGTAAGGACCGGCCTGAGGGGGGCACGGGGGAGGACAAATGGAGGTGTAAGGACCGGCCTGAGGGGGGCACGGGGGAGGACAAATGGA